AGAGGGGGGGGGGGGGGGGGGATGAATAACTGTGGGGGACATGTTTGTAATGAAGATGAGTATTATAGCAAAGGCTGTTTTTTTTCTTTACTTTTTATTCCTGGAGATCTGCTTTAGAATTACAGAACGGGTGAGAGTGCCTTCTCTGTAAAATGAGGGCTCGGATTGGAGGGTAGGACAGTGGGGAAGCATCTGTTGCCTTGCAAACTCTGACAATAACTGTCACTCTCCTTAGTGTGTACAAATGTCTATATGTTTCATCTTTGTAGTTGCCCTTTTTGGATAGAAATTGCTCTTGGCAGCTAACATTTGTTTTGTGTTCCCAATAGTCGTTGACTGTGGACCCCCAGAGGATCTAGAGAGTGGGGCTTTCTCCTTCGTTACCACCAAAGACACAACTACGTACAATTCAGTGATACAGTACAGCTGCAAAGATTTCTATTTGATGAAAGACGACTTAGGTAAGACCTCCATGGGTAATTATAGCTATAATTATGTAGACAATTGTAGCCATGATTTTTAGAAGAATCTCAGAAACCTGCCAAATAGTTTGTTCTGTGGAGAATCATGGAATTCATAAATCTAACCAAGATCCATTAAAGTTATGATTTTCTGAATCTCTTCATCTTATGGTAACCAATCCCTATTTAATCTGAGTGTACAACCGCAAATACTGTACAATCGTACGACTTTTGACTAACCAGCAGGTTAGAAAACTTCGGTCGATCGTACGATTTTCGCAAGGTTGGTGGCGTTTCTGTACGTCAAAATTTGTACGATTAACACTGCTGATGCGCAGGCGAAAATACGTGCGGTCGATTTCCGCAATTCGTCCAGGTGCTTTTTTTTACTTCTGATTCCACCTTGCGATACTCGGGGGAAGGATGGGGCCGGCGTACGAAAATCGTACGATGGTTCGATCATCGGACGAAAAGTTTAGTCCGATGATCGCAAGGTGTATGGGCAGCTTTAGATTTACTATCAAATATCAGGTGCAGGGACCTGCCTGATATGATACAAATGCAATGTATGGTTTAGATTTGACATCATATAACATAGTTTTGATAGGTCTAAAGGAGATTGTACATTTACACCGTGTAGTGTTTGGCCAGTTGTAGGCAGATCTCATATATATATATATATATATATACACACACACACACACACACACTGTTTATGTACTTGGACAAATCAAAAAATTAATTTTCCCATACCTAGTTCTCACAGCCACCAAGCTAATTCAGAAGAGAAGGTGTTCATACAAATCTGATGAACTGGCCATATGTTGAAAAAATGCATAAGCACATGTTACCATTTTAGAACTGCAGGTGAAAAGTAGATCCAGAAATACAAGCAGCTGTGGCTATAAGCATATCTTGAATTCTCCTGCTCGACCTTGCGCCCCCATCTTCCTACTGAACATTTTACGTGATGCGTCGTTGAACTGATTAAAAGGGGGGCCAGATTTGTAAACGGCAAGTCATAAGTAGATCTGTGCCCAGTGCACCCCTGCCTCCTTATTGGAAATTTAACATGACGGGTGGCCTTACTAATTGTAAATGGGGTGCCAAGTTTGTGAAAGATTTACTATAAGGAACCTGTTACTCAAGGCAACTGCGTGTTCTAGCAAAGAATTTCCAGTTAGCATTTTGGGTGAGGGTGGTCATGTTGTTCTACAAATAGCACAGGTTGCCTGACTCATGTTAATATAGAGAATAAAAGTAACTTTAAAGGGTTATTAAACCCTCCGGTGTTTTTGCATTTATATAAGGCTAGCAAGCAGTAGATCTATGCAAAAAGTGTAAAAACATAAACAAAAAACACGTTAAAACCGGTTTAAACTTACCTGTGTCTTCCCCGCGCGGTCCCGTCCAAAAATGTGCAAATTCTCGGGCGGCCGCAAACCATCTTGGGGCGGGCACATGCGCAGTTCACATTTTCGGCCGGGAGACGAGGAGAGACACAAGGTAAGTCTATGGACGCGTGCACCCGCATGCAGACACCGTGGGACAGGAAGTGCCAGCAAGGACAGAGGAGTCAGCACTGGATCGGAGACCCGTCTCAGCGCTGGAGGGAAGGCTGAAAAGGACAGGAAAGAAGAAGTTTGGATTAAGAAACATCATTTAAAGTAAGTGCTTTAATTAACATTGGGGGGAGGGAAACATATCTTTGACTTTAATGTAACTTTAAGTTTTAAAGAAAATCACATCACCTGTATCCCTGGTGACTCTATGACTGAGCCGTGGTAAGAGGGGCAAAGCACATTTGTGGGATTAGGGAGAGGAGTGTTCTCTCTGCTTGCAGCAAATAAAGTGTGGAGGTATTGTGGACATAGCAGAGTGTGGCCCCTTTTTTGGTTTTACCTATGCGTTTACTAGCGGAGACTGAGCCCGAAGATTGTACTGCTGGAGATGTGGGGATGACGGGCAGCTATTGAACGATCTGGTGGGTTGCCCAATAAAACGTTTTAATGAGTAATGTTTTTTCTATCTCCATTTTAGTGCGGTATCAATGTGGAGCAGCAGGACACTGGGAGGAAATAGTTACTAGGAGGAAAACACTGCCAAAATGTGAACCTGGTATGTTCAGCAGTTCAGAAACTCGCCTGAAAGTGCTGGACTCGCATCCTTCCATTTTTGCTTGATGAGTTTTCCATTGAAATCAATGGAACACTGATGTGCGTTATGAAGTGTGTTGTCAGCCAATACAAAGTGCTCAAAAACAAAGCAAGTTAACGCGTGTCGACATGCATGTGGATGCCTTTAAATGAAACGGATAACGCATCACGGAGAAAAACACATAGGTGTAATTCCAACCTAAAGATTCCCTTCATACATTATCCCCCAACCAGAGGCTTAGGAACCACACATGACTCTTTCAGCAGGTGATCAGCACCCGTTCCTGAACATCTGACGCCTTCAATTCTTCAGTCAGCGCTGGCGGATCGGAGCGGGGAGGGGGGAATCCAGCCCCTCTCCTGTCACGGCAGAGAGCAGTGACAGGATCGAGAGGTGAGCGAACGCCGGTATGTGTTCGCTCACCTCCCGATCTACTGAGCCGACCTGTGACAGTCTCATTGTCACGGGTCGGCTATAACTATGAGGTGAGTGAAAAGCACCCCCCTCATAGTTCTCCTTTAATAAAACAGCAAGAGGATGTAACAGTAATGACATGCCACCTACTGTTCGTTTGGTGTAGTCCCTCCCGGATAAGCTTCAGCTGTTGCTGTATGGGAACGTATAGGGATTTATATCTTTTGTTTTTATCTATTGTTCTATCTATAAAAAATATTTAATGTTTATCTGTTTGCAGCTTTAGACTCCTTTTCACATGTTTAGCTGTATACACCTAACTTTTCTTTTTATATACGCAATATACAATTTTGCTCTTGCGTTTTGTGTGCATGAGGCTTAAGGCTCCAACATATGGTATTTATCAAATGCAAATTTCCCCCGTAGAAAGATTTAAAGTAGGGCTGGTAATGATTAACATTTTCGTGTTCGACTAATCAAAATATTTTTTTGTCACGGACATCAACGTCCCCGGTCCCCTCCCCCTTCCCTTCTTTAGCCGATAGAGCCACTTGGGGAAGGGGGGAGGAGTCCGGTGACGTCGATGTCGACGGGACTCCCGGAAGCCGGCGGAGAGGTGAGTGTTTTCATTAGCGATCAAAATAATTTTAATCGATCAAAAAGTTTAAAGATTAATCGAGAAATTAATCTTTAATTTCCACAGCCCTAATTTAAAGCTAAAATATATTTGCATGCACCTACATATGCCCCAAACACTTTTCTTTTTCAAATTTAAAAAAAATGTACCTAACATGTTCATCAGTTTAAACTCTGAAGCACCGGTGTGTATGAGTCCTACATCTGTATTTATCTTTTTTTTTTCCTTGCCCTCAGATTGTGGAAAAAGGGTCACACATGGCTTGCAACGTATAATTGGAGGGTCATTGGCCAAGCTGGGACAGTTCCCATGGCAAGTATTCATAAGAGAAAGTCCTCATTCAGGTGGAGGAGCACTGCTCTATGATAGGTGGATTGTAACCGCCGCCCACGTTGTGCATGACGTAGACCTGCCCCAACTCACTATGAAAATGGGATTCGTTAGTAAGAATGACACAAACTTTTATAAGGCTGTGCCCGAAGCCATCTATATTCACCCCAGTTACAAACACGATGATACGTACGACCACGACATCGCTCTGATTAAACTCAAAGACAAAGCACCGATTAATGAAAACATCCTCGGGATCTGTCTCCCGACCAACGACGACAGATATCGGATCAGTGAAAATGAAATCGATCACCACGTGGGACGCGTAGCTGGCTGGGGTACCACAGAAAGAGGTTCCACTGCAAGACACCTGCGCTTTGTCGAGGTGGACATCATCAACCACGGGCAATGTGTACACACATACAAACAAAAGAACATCAAAACCAAGGTCACTGAAAACATGATCTGTGCCGGTAAGGAAGAAGGGGGAAAGGATTCTTGCCAGGGCGACAGTGGTGGCTCATTGGTCTTCTTCGATGATAAAAGCAACCATTGGTTCATTGGTGGGATTGTTTCCTGGGGGTTGGAGTGTGGGGCTAAAGATAGTTATGGAGTCTATACCAAGGTAAGCAACTACCTTGACTGGATACACAATATTGTCCAGAACAAATAAAGATTATTCATAATAAAGTACTTAAAAATGTGTTTTTTGTTGTCTAAATAATTTACTTGTCATTATTATTATACAGATTTTATAGAGCGCCAACAGTTTGCACAGCGCTTTACAATATAAGGAAGACATTACAATCACAATACAATTCAAGACAAGATGGTACGGAGGGCCCTGCCCCTGAGGGCTTACAATCTAAAATGTGCTCAGTCAGTATTCGACAGCACTGTACAGTTCATGTAAACTGTTTCTTAACCCAAAAAGAAAAATTTATTGCAGCTTACCAGTCCTTAGATTTGGTGGCTGCATCAGTTCTTTTTTAGGCTGCTTACTTAAAGGAGAACTAGGGCTTAGGGGTTAGGGCTTTAAAGGGATTGAAGTGCCCCGCCCCTAAAGTGTGACGTCAGAAAGACCCTTTCTGACATCACACTTTAGGGGCGGGGCACTTCAATCTGAGGAGACGGAGTTATACCTGGTAGCCGGCCGGCTGATACAATTTTAAATGTTATTTCGTACCGTCTTTCTTGACTAATACATTTTAAATACTGCACCATGAGGGTTTCAATTTGCTTTTATTATGGCTGAACATCGCGAATGAGCACGGTTAAAAACGGAGTATGAGGAAGGACGACGCTGGAAGTTACTCTGATTTGTTAAACGTGTGTTGGCCCGTTAAAATACAGTCGTCTGTGGTGAGTGCATATCCATTGGGGGACCTTTTTTTGGGCACGTGGAGGAGCACTATTTATCGGAACACATTGATTCGGTTTGACACTAAGTTGCTGTATTTGCACTGGATTGGATTTGGAAGGAGTCCCCCTTTCTTTCACCTACTTTCATTATTAAGGATTGGACTGTCTTTTGGACTGATTCGGTTTTTTTTACCCAAAAAATGTTGTGATTTTTATCAGTCCCATATTTTCACTGTTTTTGCACATTTCTATATTTATTTTGGATGTATTTATATGTATTATTATTTATATTTAGGCACTTTATATGCACTATATGTGTACTTCACAGGAAGGTTTTGAGCACTGTACAGTAATATTAAAATTATTTATTGAGGCTTGACAGCCTTAGTGTAGCAGCCTTTAAACCTTTGATGGCATTCATCTGCTTACATTAGCAAAGATTATCTATTACTATATTGTAAAATTATTGCTTGAGTTCATTGTGGGACACAAGAAGTCTTTAACCTGTGTTATACTGGCACCTACAGGAGAAATGGACAAACAAAAAACCTGTAGGGCAGACCAAGATAACTTCTCCCACTACCAGCATGCCTCAGTTTTATGGGACAACAAAATTTACAACATAATCATAAGCACAGAGTGGGAATTTTGACCCTCAAAGAACAGTAAGTCACTAGCACTCCAAAAGTTTCTTCAAGCAAAGTCCTATTCATTACCAAGTGTAGCAAATGTAGCAATGCTACACTTGCCCTACTTGCCAAGTCAGGTCACACATGTACAGGTGGTCTCCTCCTTTTAACTATCTAGGGGTTCAGAGAACTAAGCTTAGACCATTTTAAACAATCTTTTCCCTATGGAACAGAGATTTAAATCCCAATGTGCTGTCAACTCCATCTTTCGGTGGTTGGGAGAGAGTGAACCTAGTGAAGATGATCTGGATGCCTCAACTACTGTACATGCTACATAACTCCCCCTGCTGAAACCCCTAATGTTTTTTTAGAATACAATTTTTAGGAAAAGACGCCCCCACATGTTAAAACTAGAAACATCCCAAAGGATGAAGGAGGGCTGCCTGCTCCTAATCCTTGGATATTTTCTAGCCTCACAACTCTAGCATCTGGCAGGTTGGGATGGCAAGTGCCAGCATTTGAGGACATTTAGCCTGGGTAATATGCGCGTTTGTGACCGGGCGTTTTCAGCACGTTTTCCTGTCCACGAAACGCACGTTTACGAGAACCCAGACTTAGAAGTCTAATGGAAACACGCTGAAATCTGCCCTAAAGAAGCTCAAGTACCTTTCACACGTAGGGCGTATTTCAGCGCGACAAATCACGCTGAAATACGCCCAGGTGGGAACCATTCCCATACCAATTAATAGCATTTCACTTCTCGAAGTTTCGATCAGCGCTGAAAAACACCCAGGTGCGAACCCAGCCTTCGTATTATTCAGTCCTTATTGAAAGGCATGGATCCACTTTCTTGCTGTTCAACATCTCTATAAGTAACAAAAAACCAATACAGGCGCCTCCAACTGAAACTGGCCAGCTGTAACGATGAAGAACACTCACGAAAATTGGCGCCTCCATAGTGTAAAAACGAAATTTAATGATGCAACACACAGCTTGAATTGTACTTACAAAAGGTCGGTAGTAAAAAAGCATATAAAGATCGATGGAACTCGAAACCTCTAGCAGAGGAAGTCTGCAAAGATGTGTAGTATCAGCGTCCTCTGCCCCTGTAAGTTCAAAAGGTTTACGCGTTTCTGGGGCACGCCCCCTTCATCAGAACCTCTACGAGTTTCTGGGGCACGACCCCTTCAACAATTGTATTATATGGCCTCTGTGGGCATATTGCAGCTCACTGCCGACCACGCTGTTGGCCCGCTCCTGACGTCCCCACTGACCGTATGTGGTCCCGGTCAGTCCTCGAGGTGTGTAGCCTCAGTAGTCGTGGCCGAGCGGCGTTCGGTATGGGAGGTGTAGGAGCCGCCTCACATGCCGACTGACTCCGTCCCCCGCTGCCTTTGAACTGGCCAGCGCGCGCTGCGTTCCGGAACCCGGAAGTGGCGCACCGGAAGCGCGTCACCTCACCACGCGGTCTCGATGACGCGCCTCGCTCTGCGTTCACATCTCTTGCCTTGTAGAAGGGACCCTGTGTGGCCCCGAAACGTCGGCTCATGTTGGATTTCTGTGACATCATTGTCCATTAAAAGGACTCATTCATTTTAACTTATGGAGTGCTGGTGACCTATTTTCTTCAATCTTGTGTTTTGCACGGTGCCATCCGTGAAGTTACTTCGAGCACCATTTATTTGTTTGTTGGCCGGGACTGCTCACCATTTATTTGATTGTTGGCCGGGACTGCTGAAAGGCGCGGTCTCGATGACGCGCCTCGCTCCGCGTTCAGACGGCGCCACAGCGCTCCCAGCTGGTGGTGGGAGAACAAAATGCCGAGCAGCTCTTTGGAGCTTCCTGTAGACGCCGCCATTCTCCCGCACAAACCCATGCGGCCACCGGACGGAACCATGGCCTAAGGAACAGTGACCGCTGCTTCAACCAAATAAGGGATGACCCCTATGGTAAGTGTCTTCACTGCACCCAGCGCCTACCCCCTCCATACAACCAAGAGGGGGTGCCGTACACCGCTCAGGGTAGCACCCTTGCCACTACTGCACCATCTGGAGCCACTCACGTACAGGAGGATGGTTGCCCTCCCTGAATGATGTTTAACTCCCCCCACCCTCACGCGCCTATAAACGTAAATACGCGTCCGGTGCCCCAGCGCGCAACAATTACAATTGCGCTACACATGTTACATATCGCCGGGAACGTCGCAGTGAGCGCAATCATTTTAGGGCCATCAATCACTGATAACACTAAACTGATGAGCGGTAACAGCTTTTAAAGCATCGCCTATGGCCAATTTTGGGTATATCGTTTCTTTGAAGTTTTGCGCGCGCACGCAATTTGAAAGGCTTGACATGTTTGATGTCTTTTTACCCGACGTGACCCAGTCTTATATTTTACCAAAAAATTGGGTAATAAAATGTTTTATCATTTAATATTAGGTGAAACTTTTTTTTTTTTTAAATTTCGGTCATTTTTCCTTAATATAGTAAAAAAATAAAAACCCCAGTGGTGAATAAATACCACCAAAAGAAAGCTCTATCTTCCCCAAAAAAGGGTATAAAATTAATTTCAGTACAGCGCTGCATGACGGAATAAATGTCAGTCAAAGTACCGCAGCGCTGAATACTGAAAAATGGCCTTGATGGGAAGGGGGTTTAACACCGCGGATGTCAACTGGTTAAATAAATATTTATTAAGTACATACATCCGAGTCCTTTCTAAACACTCCATCACAATAGCAATATTGTAAATGATTCTTTGAAACTCAATTTTCGTTCTTTATCCCTATACAGTAATCGATACTCCCAACCTTTCAATTACAGGACAAATTGTGGAGCTCTGTCAAATCTCTGGTCAGCTTTAACTGGACCCACTAAATATGCCCCTATATGAAAAGATTAAACAGCTTAGGGAGCAGGTCAAACAGATGGTTATTCAGCGGGCTGGTATTGTAAAAAGTCTCCCAACTGTACGACAGTGGTATTCTATATCCTTTCCACAACTCAGGCCTTATTGGTACATCCAGCAAATGTACCGTACTCATGACTACAAAATAGGTCTTCGAGGGGACTCCAAATGCCCAAGGTGTAACTTCGACCCGTGCCTACCATTTCTTGCACTCTGGTGCTGCCTGAAATTACTGCAGTAGTAGGAAGAGATTCTGAGTAAGAACTTAGTATTTGGTACATCTATCCCTAATAATCCTCTTGTATGCATACCGGGTGCTTTGGGGTTACATCATTCTTCTACTGTTACCGTGTCCAGTGGTTTATTTGCTGCCTGTAGCATGCCGATCCTGAAATGGATATCTCATACCCCTCCATCAGTGGAGGCCTGGCTGTCAGAGCTAAACTGTTTTAATTTCTTTTGAAAAACCTCACTTTCAACATAGAGGTTCCCTTGACAAATTCTATAAGATTTGGGATCGCTGGTATACTTCAGGGAGGTGTTTCTCCCCTTATAAAACATGTGATGTAATTGCATAATATGCTACGCTCTGTACAAGGTTCTGATGTTACTCGGTTATACTGGAATGACTTGTTTGAAATTTACAGCAGCACAGCATCCTTCAGAACCACAATGACAAAGTTTTGATTTTTGTAACTTTTTAAAAATACTAAGCCCCACCCCCCCCAAAACATCTCATTCCCTTGGTTCTCAACTGGTTGGTCGTGACCCAAAAGCAGACCGCGACCCTGTGTTCAGTGGATCACCGCATGCCTTCCACTTTTCTAGGAGAGAGGCTCCTCTGCTTCCCCCTATCGCAGCACTCTGTTTTCACATCAAGCAGCCATTCAAAATATGCTGCCCGATACCAATTGTCAGCTTGAGGTGGGGTGGGCTGGGGGTATCGCCGCAGGGGCGCTCCATCCACACATGCATTGCTTACAGCTCCCTCACATGCCCTGTAGAGGTGCCTGGACCAGAGTGATGTCACATTCTGGCTACCGGCACGCAAGGGAGCTGTGCAAGCAATGCACATATGGAGGTTACACAGGGTCAGAACCACTGCTTTAGTCATCACTTCCAGTTTGAAGCCAGAAGCACAAGAGCCATATTGTCCAAGAGAATAAGTATGCAATTGAGAGTTGAGTAAATAAAAAGTAAAACAACCGACTTTATTTAAACTGTTTTATTTAAGAATCCTACATTGACAAGTCTTGTAAAAAGCATCCAAACACAGAACACATAACTGCAGCAAACGGCATTCTGGGTTTTACGTACAAACCAAAACAGTCCCAACACTCTAGAAAAACAGGAGAATTTCATGCCATATAATCTTTTAGGCAGGAAAGGCCTCAGTCTTTCAAAATGGACAAGTCCTCTGAATGCAAGAAACATTCGTACGTTACTGGCTCCCACTGCTCTCTGCACACAATCACCAAGGTCAATGGATCCAGAGACACATAGTCAACTTCATGTTAAAAAAAAATATATTCCCATAATGCACCACCAGGTCTGCGCACGCGCTCTCTGTTCTCGCTCATACCCAAGCCTCTCATTCCTTGGTAACACCAATCCCACAGTTCAAGCAAGCCTTCTGGTTCCACCTCACAGCCGTGCGTTCAGAAGCGCTGGTACGACTTCCACAAAAATAAAGTAGCGGATTAAAAAATGGCTCACCCACCGTTTTAAGAATGGCCGCAGAGGAGGCGTTCTTGCTGGGTAATGCTTTATGTGGATGAGGAGAGATCCAGCGTGGCTGATTAAAGAGATGCTTGCGTGTGCCAGGTCCCAGGTAGACAAAAGGTGAGGAGCAGAGATCAGTTGATGAAGCAGTGAACACATAAAAGAAAGCCTGACCTAAACATATTTAGAATTGCTCATTTACATAATGGAAATAATAATAAAAAAAAAATAAAGTTATACATTGGGTAATGCCAGTTGGTTTTCTTCAGCATGCAGCTTCGAAGCTCACGCACACAAGTTTCTATCATCCATCTTCCTTCACAAAGCAGGCACAGCTGCATGCTTGAAGAAAACCTTCGGGAAACGTTCCATAACTTCATTTCACGTTGTACTTACCACAAAATTAGGAAATGTTTGTTCACCCCAGTCACCCAATACACATCCTTGAACCATTATGTCTACATACCCCACCCCCCCGATGACTTTGATTCCATGCTCGAGCCGAAGCCCCCATTGAAACCGGTACCAGAAGCGGCGTTTGGCGAGCCCCAGCCTATAGCTCCAGAGTTCGAGCCATAGGAGTTGCTACCGGACCCGAAACCCTGTGTCTGGTCCCTGGGCTGATTTCCCTGGCCCTGAGTGTTGCCTTGTGGACCAGGCTGGTTCTGTTGACTGGCCAACATACCCATCATGCCCCAGCTGCTTTGGAGGGCTGCTTGAGCAGCGGCCATCATGGCTGGGTTGATGCTAAAGGCCCCGAAGTTCATTCCGCCACCACCCCCCATATTATTAGGCTGGTTGTTACCAAGTCCACTGCTGTTTGGCCTGTTGTTGGGGTAGCCCTGGTTCCCAAAGTTTGGCCCTGGGAATCTACCACCTCTGTCTAAGGGGGCTCGGTTGTTATTGTGTTTGGGTTCTGCAGTTGACACATGAACGCTGACACCTTTGATTATGAGGTCTTCTCCACACAGAGATTGTGCCACCTGGGAGAGGGGAAAAAAGAAAAAGCTTTGTATTAAGTAATCATTCCCAAACCTCCATCAGCTTTGTGCCGCAGTCACACATTTTGCATTACAAGAAATGTCTGAACTAGAAAAATGTGTCCCAACTAAGCTGCAAGCTATACTAATGTCAGTTTAATCAGAAATTTCTCAGCGAGCGTTTACTGCTGTAGCTCTCCAAGGATTCCTCGCTGTTCTATGTGCTGCCCTGAGAAACTGCATGCAAAAAATACAACTCACTACAAAATAAGTGAGAGCCTGGGGGGGAGGGGGGGGGAGGATGGAGAGAATATGAATAGATCAAAAATATCACTTCATGGAAAGTTCCCACCCTTCTTTTTTTGCAATTTGCAAATCTATAGCCACATGCAACCATTACCACTGCAAACTACTCAGCCAACGATTAGAGAAGTATGAGGCAAGCGATTTTCACTCAGCCTCATAATCCGAGCCGACCTGCGACAATGAAACTGTCACAGGTCGGCTCTATAGATCTGAAAGTGAGCGAACACATACCGGCGCTCGCTCACTTCTCGATCTATCCCTGCAGAGAGCCGTGACTGTCACTCACGGCTCCCTGCAGGGATTCCACCCCCCCCTTTCCGATCCTCCAGTGCTGACTGGTGGAACGGACGGGTACAGCTGGCTCTGCCTCTAGATAGACAAAGACCAGCTGTCGCTCACGCAGCTGGGTGGATCCAGACAAATTGTTGGGATCCGTTCCGGCTGCGGCGTCTCAGTATAGCGCTGTAGCTCGCGGTATACTGAGCTGTGTGTGACGGGAGGACGCTAGTTTGTGTCCTCCCGTTACCCTTAGGAGAACTATGGGGTAAAACCCTAACCCCATTTGTGGTGAAACATGTTAAGAGGGAGAAAGAACGGCATCTTGCAGTCAATAAAGTTGTGTTTATTGGAGTTAGGGGATCAGAGTGGGGCTCATTGGGCTTTAGAGACGAACTACTTTGCCTGCTCTGCTCAAACTTCTTTGTAGTCAGCCTGAACAGTGCAAAATCTACGTAATAATTTGTGACATGACCGTAAATAAAATATTGCACAGTAATGACTACACTGCATACACTACGCTTTTGTGAATAGGCGCTTATATGGCGTGCCTGTTGAATATACCCTTTTACAATGCTGGTTACATGTAGTCAATGTTAGCAGGAACACAGTTACACCCCCCCCCCACGAGCCGCCTTGCTCTTAGACCTGTCCCTGGAGCCTCTCTCGACCCTTGCTGCCGCAGTCTAAGGATCCTTGAGTCATACAGTGTATAACCCGTGAGGATGCCGAGGGACGTACCATCACTGCAGCGGAGGAGACAGGCTTCAGGGACTGGACTAGCAGCCAGTCGGCTCTGCAGTTCAGGCGAGTACAACCTTTTCTTAGCACACAGACAGAAAAATGGGGGGGGACCCCGCTGGCAATGGTTAAGAACACTTTTGCCCCAGAGTTCTTCTTTAGATACACAGAGCAGTAGTATTGTTACTATGACATTGCACAGGACTTACCTGGTCATCTGCAAATGTGACAAAAGCAAATGCTCTGAAAGGCTTGGGGATGAACACGTCTACAACCTCCCCATACTGTGCAAAGAACTGGCGAAGCTCCTCAGCACTCATGTCCTCTGTACAGCGGCCAACAAAGACTTTTCGGCTGCGCATGGGCTCATCTGGGCTTTGCTGATGCATGGAGGGCGAGAAAAAAAACACTTTATAAGAAAAACAGGATTTTTGTACTTGACGTTAAATACTTTCTAACAGTCCATTGGGGGGAGGGGGGCGCGGATGGGATGGGTTATAGCCTCTAGGGGACTGGCCTTTAGTTTCTATGTGCAGAGAGTGTCCATTTCCCCTGTAGGTGGGAGGATGTCCCTCATATGGATAAATACAAGTTTAACTGTGCTCGTGTGTCTGGCCGAGTCCCAGGGCTCAGCTCATAAATTGGCTAGTTCTAAATTGTTGCAGCCACTTAAAGCTACAGTATACAGAAAGAAACAATTCAAAGTAGGATCATAAATCAGAAGTGGAACAGCTTAGGACCAAGAAGGGTAAGTATTTCTATACATGCAATAAGCTTCTTTCAATTCAGCAATGATGAAACCTAATGCTTTATAAGATATAGGTCTAGCTGTCCTTTAAAGCTGAACTCCAGGCAGATATACAAGAAAAGAAAAAATAATGCAGCTCTGTACTCATTAATACATCCTTTAAATGTAATGTTTTTAAATATAAGCAGAGTAAGTACCTGAATATGACCTGGTATCAGCCTCTCGTAGTCCATTGTATAGTAGAGGTCAGACTAGGGGAGGAGAAGCAGAACAAGGAGCCAATTAATTAGTTCTGCAGTGCAAGGAACATGCTGATAAGAGGAGAGAGCGGAGTGACATGTGAGCTCTTTGGTCTGCTGCTTCTCCTTCAACTGTTCAGTAACAGGGGAGAGGGAGGGAGAAGACCTGTTGGTGTTACTGAACCGCAGCACAGAAAAATCAGGTCTCCGGCCCTGCCAGACAGGGCTGTGCAGTGTGGCAGAGCTGTGTAAGTTTCAGGATTGGCCAGACAGTAATACAATTTATTTATTTTTTGCCAGGTAAAACAGCCTCGATATATATGCATTCCATCTCTAGAATTAGCTGTTTTTGCCTGGAGTTGTGCTTTAAAGAAGAACTGGACTCTGGAAACTGTGCCCAAACAAAGGCAGGCAGAGGGCAAAGGACTAGACTGCAGCATTGACGGACGTCTCCCTGCAGCTGATCATTTCCCCACTACTGACTTACCATGCCCCGTTCTGCACGGTGTCTGGTGGCAGCCAACTTGGTAAAGGAAAGGCTGTACCTTCTCATGTTAAGAGCCTCCAGCAAGAACAGTAAGCAGCACAATAGTAACATCACCAAATCTCACTCCGAATCTCCTAAGTCTAGCAGTCAGAGGCAGCAGTTCCTTAGATCTCACACTGCAGATATACAACTGAGGCTGTAGTGACTAAACACACTCATATACCAGAAATGCACTGCTACTTTACAAGACAAATCTTTTATGGTTACTTCTTAGGCACAATTAACATTCCCCAAGGTTCCCTATAACATAGCTACCCCTTTTGGAGTTCAGGACCAATTTAGCATGAGCTCCGCTTATGCATTTGCTCATCCCAAGCTTCATATAAAACTTTGACGCTTATGACAGATTTATGGCTTATTCACATGGGCGTGCACATCCGTACAGAGACCCGCTTCCCAGGAGGGACAGGTGCAATGTGTAATCGTATGCAGCCAACTGTACATCACTGAGAGGACCTGCACATTCATGCACTTGGATGCAGACAATCTGCACGCTGCGCCTGTCCTTCCCGGGAGCAGATGCCTGTGTGATTGTGCCCTTTAAAAAATATTGTCAGGATCCGCTTCAGCTGCGGCGTCTCAGTATACCGTGAGTTACAGCTTGCGGTATACTGAGCCTAGGGTGACGGGAGGACGCTAGTTTGTGTCCTCCCGTTACCCTAAGGAGAACAATGGGGAAAAGACTTAACCCCATAGTTCTCTTTAAGTGTTATTAGCATTATTACAGGGAACACATGCAGCCAGCCAGGATATACTTTACTTATTTGTTACTTTCTCCCCCAGGAAAAACCACATCAATAAGTTTAACCACTAATTACCTAGCTACAATTACCCCCCCCCCACAATTTTGTCACAGGCTAATGTCTGCCCACCAGCTGTAAATGTAACCCACATATTGCTGTTGGGGCACTAGGCAAAAGAAAGGGATGGCACCACTGAGCTGGAGCTTAGAGGGCTACCTACCCTCATGAGACTGATGGGAACAGCCATGTGCTAGGAAGAGATTCACATGCACTTCTATACAAAGTAGTACTGGGATCTTTCTCTGATAAAGAGGGGGAGGGGACCTGGAGAAAGTTGCTCCAGAGAAAATCTACACATGCAAATCACATTAAAATTTTGCACCTAAGCATGTAAGGCCCTGTGAACACGACATCTCATTTACCTTGGAATTAGGCAGTTTGCAATCACACCATCTCCCGTCTATCATGTGCCGCTGTGACATCACTTTAACCTGTGTTTCATAATCTGCAAACCGAACAAATCCAAAGCCTTTTGAATGACCAGTTTTGGCATCTTTTTTAACCTGCAAGAGAAAGACTGTTTTTTTAAACTACAACTATTAACCGCAGCACCCAAAACATGAATGTCTGGAGAATGAAAGTACCTGAACCATAATGACTTCTCCAAATGTGCTGAAATATTCCTTAAGGTCCTGCTCCGTCGTTTTCCATGGGAGCCCCAACACAATAAGGTCCGATGTTTTTGTAACAGCACGCTTTATTTTAACAGCGGAAGACGCATCGGTTTCATCCATCTTCCTCTTGTTGTCTGTAATAGAATAAATGTCAGCTTTACTAATTTCGAACATGAAAAATTTGAGAATGTGGACAAAGAAAAGTCTTCATACACGTAACTGAATATTTCCTTTTTTTTAACTATTAAATTTCCTGCCGGTTCCGCCCCCCCACGGACGCTCGCAAGGGCATCGGCCGCAGGACACAGCGGGGATCGTGGACAAGGTATACCTGAGTTACTGTGTAATCCCCAGTGTGGCTCGGGGTTACCGCTTTTGGTAATGAAAGTTAACCCTGAGCCACACTCTGGATTACCGCCAGGGGAGTTAGACCCCGGACAGATGTCTACCTAAAAGGTCATTGTGTTTCCTGCAAGAGAGGTTGTGCACTCGCCACTGGTAGCTCATCCCCTACCTTCCCTATGCTGCAATCCCTTTGGCATTTGACACCAGGATACTCGCATCCCCCTGCTGCACAAATGGTTGCTGCCTCCAACCCTTACATCACCGATTCAGCCGTGACAGTCAGGTGGAAGAGGATACCAGCATGCAGCAGACGACACAAGCATTTGACACTCCCAGAAATGAAGACTGCAGAACAGAGGTCAGTGTGCTGCAATGGAAGGAGAGGTAGGAGACACAGGCCATCGGAGAGGTTAGTATACTACCTCTTCTCTGGAAGGGAAGACGCCATTTTGATTTATTTAGACACCTTTTGTGATCTCACCAACGCAATACGCCTGAAAACCTTTTTTTTTCCCCTTTTAGAAAAGACTTGAGATTTAATTCCTCGGTCAGAATTTTACTGGAGTCTGTATTCCCAATCAAGAGGATGCCCCCCTCACTTCTCCCACAGGCACAACACTATAACCCTCCCCATAGTGAGAGGATATTCTACCTCTTACAGCCATCATTGGAGAGAGAAATGGTTACCAACAAAAATTGTGAGGGAAGAACATGATGGGATTAAAACCCTTTCTATCCAAACCTGTAAACATTTGTGGTGGTAAAAAGAACCAATGACAACCCAATAAAGGCAATTTATACACCAGGATTTTCAGCATAGCTTACAAATCACCAGGTCACCCAACCTGTTGGGTGAAAAAATAATAATAAAACACTGTCTCTCCTGTAAGCAGGGTCTAACATGGTTCCCATTTTCTAAATGCTATGTTAATATACAGAATGCACAATTTAAGGTGACAAATGAGGAGTAAAATCTTACAAATGCCATAACTATTAAAACATGGCAATGTATCTCATTTGTGTATCACTCGGCTGCAGATCCTCCAATCATCTCTGAATTGGTGCCGACACTGTCCTCCCTCCTGGAGGGGGGCTACATCTGTTCCCCATGGTCCCTGTGTGTGTTGTAAAGTAGTCACCGCTCCAAGCTCGCTCCTGGGATGGACTACAATATCAATACAAATTAGTAAACTAATCATGAGATTTTAGTCCATCCCGGGAGCGAGCTTGGAGCGATGACTACAACACACACATGGGACCATGGGGAACAGACGTACCCCCCTCCAGATGTAAGGACAGTGTCAGCACCAATTCAGAGATGATTGGAGGATCTACAGCCGAGTGATAAACAAATAAGACACATTGTTGTTCAGAGTTAAAGGAACTTGAATGTATTTGTAATATTTTAACCCCTGAGATTATGGTCTCTTTAAAAGCTAAACCTAGACAAATGCCATGTTAGTGATCAGAGTATTACGGTAGCTAGAATCACACATTGGACTCCCAACAACCAGATCTCCAGGAGCATCTAGATTCACCTTGAAAAGTGGAGTTACACCTCTGGCAGTAAGACAAGACCCCAACACAGCAGTCGCACGGAGACGCTGGAATTAAATTTGGTGCAGAGATCTCACCGCATAGTCACTAAGAAAGCAGTGAATGACAATCCACCCTACACAAAAATTCGGGCATGTAAATCAGCACGCACCTTTAGGGTAATTGACGACATAAACAAGATTCCCCCATCCGTTCTCCGGTGCATGAAGGATTCCTTCCACTAATCTGACCCCACGCATACACTGATTCACTGGATTTCGGTATCTAAGGCCACATGCGCCAGGAAACTGCGCCGTAACTGTTGACAGGAGGACGGTGCCGTCATCTTCGGAGGGGATTTCCATAGGCTCCTCATTCTCATCCTCCGCCACGCGAATATATTCCATTTCCATTGCTGCAAACTAGAGAAGAACATGGTGTGAACAAACAAAAGTCAAATACATCACATCAAGCTTTAATTTCAGAAAAAAAAATTAACACAAAGAAGCGACGAGACTTTTCAGGGTGTTGTGATCCAGCGGCAGGACATGCACTTTTAAAGCAGGAATGAAAAGTGTTGCACACAGCTATTGATATGCTGGTTTACATGCTCCAACCTGAACTATGTGATTGCTGGGAAAGGAACACCGGAGGTTGGAGACACACTGGGTTGGCATTCAATGCTTCCCATGAGTCTCTTACGAGCAGAGCTCGGACACTCTCTTACCATCAACACGGCAGTCCATAGGATTGTGCATCAGCCAAGTATCCTATGAACTGGTGTTTGAATGCGGATAATCCCCCAGCAATCACAGCGCTTAGCTGTGGAGACGTGTGGGTCAGATTCTGTAAACAGAAACTCAATTTCAATGCAGCCGGCGCTAGCAAACCGTACCTCATAAACCCACATTTAGCACCACGGGGGGGGGGCCTTATCAAATCCGGAGCATGGCAACCAATCAGCTTCCCCTTTCAGTTAAGCTTTGATAATGAGTCAGTTGCCGTGGGCAACTGCTCTCCAGTTTTGATAACTTCTCCCTATATTTTGTTTTTTAAAGTGTCAAAGGTCTCCACTAAAACATTACCGAACATGTATATAAAAATTACACGTTCAGCTGCAACAAAAAGCCCAATGTTATTAGTTTGCATCTCTTTTTGGTGCCCCTTCGTTGGGCACATTTGCCAGAAACACCCGTGCCAACATCGCATGGCCAATACACCTCTTCCAGGGGTAGCCAAACTTCAACCCCCAAATGAAGCACGACAAATCCTAATCATGCATCTGCCTCAGGAAGCCATGCCTGTAGCTGTCAGTGGGACTTGTAGTTCCACAACAGCTGTAGGGCCAGAGTCGATACCCTTGACCTTTACCCTTGACCTTTATCAGTGGTACGCAAACGCCAGCACTCGAGCTGTTGTACAACTACAAATCCAATTATGCATCTGCCTCAGGAAGCCATACCTGTAGCTGTCAGAGCTTCGCCATGCCCAATGGGACATAGTTCCACAACAGCTGGAGGGCCAGAGTCGATACCCTTGACCTAAGTGGTAAGCAAACTCCAGCCCTCCAGCTGTAGTACAACTACAAATCCCCATCATGCATCTGCCTCAGGAAGCCATGTCTGTGGCTGTCAGTCTAGCAATGCCTAAAGCAACTTGTAGTTCCACAACAGCTGGAGGACTGAAGCCGATACCTTTGAGCTATACCAAGGGTAGGCATAGTCAAGTCCTCCGGCTGTGGTGCAACTACAAATCTCCATCATGCATCTGCCTCAGGAAGCCATGCCTGTAGCTGTCAGAGGTTTGCCATGCCTATTGGGAGTTGTAGTTCCACAACAGCTGTAGGGCCGGAATTGACACCCTCGACCTATACCAGGGGTAGGCAAACTCCAGCTGTGCTACACCTACAAATCTCCATCATGCATCTGCCTCAGGAAGCCTTGCCTGTGGCTGGCAGAGCTTTGCCATGCCTAATTGGACTTGTAGTTCCACAACAGCTGGGGAGGACTGAAGTTGATACCTTTGACCTATACCAGGGGCAGGCACACTCCAGTCTTCCGGCAGTGGTGCAACTACAAATCCCATGAGGCATTGCAAGAATCTACAGGTATGTCCCACAGGTATCTGTCCCACAGGTATGACTCCCAGAGACAGATGCACGATGGGATTTGTAGCTGTACCACAGCTGGAGGACCAGAGTTAGCCTACCTGTGCAAAAGACAACAAACCTATAATGCCCTTTCCGCCACAGCAGCATATACTCTCCTGTCTTTTGCTGCCCCGTCGTTCTCTTTGGCCACAGAGGCATAAAGAAAACACCGGCACTTCCAGGTATGGAGAAGCATGGTGGTCGATCTTCCATTGCAGGAGGTTAGATACCCTTCCATGCCCATTGATAAGGGATCTGTACTCTTCCCCGTGGCAGCTCTGCAGCATAATATTCCATAGATCAGGGTTTTGTGTAGCAGAGATTTCCATAACCTGCTTTAGAGTCGTGCACAACGGCTCTAGGCCTATCAGCGCTCTGAATGGCGAGATGAGCCTCCCCGCACTCCCAGCTCAGACCAGGCCCGAGTCTGCAATCCCACACCCCCGGCCCACTCTCAGTTCCCCCAGCTGCGTGAGATACAGGCAAGGCCTCTAGGCCTTCACACACCCCCCTTCCCCCCCAAGATCAGGCCTCAGCCATGCGGCCTCCGGTAAACCCCACCCCGCACACACCTGCTCCAGCATATAAGGGAATGGACGATTCCCTATTGGGGCCCGACACCGCACACCCGGGAATCACAACACGTAACCGGCTCTCAGTCTCGTCGCCTCCTTCTCTCACTCACCAACCTTCCGGGCTCCGCTCCCGCACAAAATGGCGCCTAACAAACCAGCTCCAAAGCTCATCTGCTACGGGGACCTACCACCACCAGAAATAGGGGGGGTGAGCAGACTAAGACAGAAACGTATCCCCCTATCGTCTTCGCTCCGCCCTTCCTTTCCCACTGGCCGCTCAGGGACACGATTACGGATCGAATCCGCCGTATGCGATTGGGGATTGTGTTTGCAGGCACGGAGTGGGAAAAGGGTGACTGGGGCGGTCCACCCCTCCGGGCTGGCAAGTGGTACGGTCTGTTTCTGAGTCTCGCAGAGCGCATGCGCAAACAGTAGCAGCGTGGACAGACAAAGGGCGGCCTGGACTGGGGGGTCAGCGGAAGGAGTGAGGCCTGTGTGTGGTCAATGGACCCGCTGCCAGTATGGGGGATTTCCTCTATAGATAGCAATGGGCTCTGCTGTCATACATGTTACTGAGTTCTATGGATGCCTTGCTGCTGAAACGTGTATGATAAATAAAACCCAAACTGCAGTCTCAGTATAATAATAGTGTGCCATTTGTTTACATTTCATACACAGCTGATTGCTTCCATCTACATCTCCATTACAGCCCGCAGAGGAATGGTCAGGGTGCAGGAAGGCCAGCACCATCGCCCGACATACCTCCCAACCAGAGCCATCCCTATAATGAGGCCATTGCCTCAGGCGGCATCTTATTAGGTCACACGGGGGGCGGCAGGTGTAGAGCTCTTAGCAACGGCATCCCGCCCAGCTCCCTGCAACCAGTGATGTCGGTGAGCTGCATGCACCCCTCCCAGTAACATACCCCGCCAACACACCCTTCCATGTGCACCGCTAACAACCTGTCCCCTCAATACGTGCACCACCAACCCACCCACCGGCCTGAGGCGGTGAAAATTGTAGGGACGTCCTTGCTCCCAACTTTCGTAAAGAAGGGGAGCCTGGGGAAGGGATAAAGTGGGCAAGGCCACATAGGTATGAATATACTGTGTGTACCCGAGGGTTTATGGGTACACACTGCACACTTTTTCTGCAATCAGGAGAGTGAATATGGCCGCCGGCACCTTCAAAATGTGTGTGATATCCATTCAGATGCATCTGGCTCAATGGCAACTCTTTGGTGCACCATGTCTGATAAGCTTGAGAGATTTTCCATACAATTCTCTCAGGTAGGTCATCAGGTCTTTTATGAACCCTCGTCATATGGCCCTGATCAATGGTGGCCCTTTGCAGACCCTTTCAGTCAGTCATGGAAGTATTCATTTGTAAACAGGTTATGAGGCCACCGATCTCTAGCAGACTCTAACTAGATCCTATAGTGTGTGTTCAGTCTCTCTCCATCCCTGTTAAATGTATGCAGTCTCTGACAGTCCTCTGCCATATACTGAATATTATGTGTGGCCCTTTGGAGTTGTCAGGGGCCACAGCTGAGGCCCTCGACACCTTGTAAGTTGTCATTCCCTGTCATATGGGCAGGGTTTGTGCTTGCATGCAGAATGTGGCATAGCCAATGTGTACACACATATTAGGGCCAATTTAACCCTGAGCCAACTACTCTACTAGAATGTTGTTGGAGTGTGAGAGGAAACTGGAGAACATGGTGGAAAAAACATACGAGCACTGGGAGAATATGCAAACTCCATGCAGATAGTGTCCTGACTGGGGTTCAAACTGAGGACCCCAGTGTTGCAAGGGATAGGTGGTAACCTCCGTACAACCCACCTACAACATGTTCTATAATTGCTGTGCAGTAACTCTGAGATTCTCTCAGACACGCATAAACCCAGTGGTGTCACAAGGGGGGTGCGGCCCGCACCCGGGTGACACCATTGCAGGGGTGACATCAAAATGACTTAGTCATTTTGGTGTCACCCCCCTCTGAAAAGTCGGGCGCTCAGTCATGGACCGAACGCCCCACAGTATCAGGAGAGAGGAGGGGACCCGGCGGCATACCTTATCCCGCGGGGTGACTGTCCCCATCTCTCTCTGCCGGCGTCCATCACCAAGATGGCCGCCGGCAGGTATCAGAAGACAGTAGCGCGTGCGCGATGACGTCATCGCTCACGCGCGTTGTGACACCCGGTTACCGCTGCCTTGTGCAGACACAAGGCAGAAAACAGGAATCACCAGCGCTCGATAGTAACGTTCAAATAACACATGTCCATTTATTTGGACAAATCGTCACAATGTAAAGAGCCAACGTTTCGGGGCCACACAGGGTCCCTTCATCAGGGCGAAAAGATGTGACGTCACATCTTTTCGCCCTGATGAAGGGACCCTGTGTTGCCCCCGAAACGTTGTAACGATTTGTCCAAATAAATGGGCATGTGTTATTTGAACGTTATTATCGAGTGCTGGTGATTCCTGTTTTCAGCTTTGTTGTACATGGCACCTCAGTATAATTTCCCTCTCGGGATATGGTGTACCGGCTTTTTGTCCCATTGGGCAATAAAAACCCGAGTTCTAAACTCTCATAACTCTATCCGAGTCTAATTGGCTACAGATGCAGTTTAATCCTTTTTTATAGCGTGGTTGAGTGAGTCGGATGTGTCCACTTGGCTTTTCATCAATTGTGAATTGGAAGATGTGAATGTCCGATGAAGGCCATGCAGACAGAAACCGCGCTGGTTTACATTAGAGATGTCATGTACACTCAGCTCCGCAGGAATCCATGCTGCCTTGTTTAATCTGAACCCCCCGGATCCTGTGAAGTCCTGTGTGTGTGAAGGTCTTGGTCTGACTCAGGTGTGCCACCATGTAGAGTGTCTCCCTTTGACATGTAAAGTGTGGAGGTGGCAGCAGTGTACTCAGCCCTGATCCTGCAGTTTCTGTAAACTGCTCTTAGTCAACTTTCTTATTTATCCAACAAATAAGTCTCGAGCTTCAGCTGCTGTTTGTATATTTCTCTATGGAGACGTAGGACACCCACTAGTATATTATGGAGGATATTTTGTATGATTGACGCCTCTCTCTGGGTGGCTGGTAGTATATAACAGGGTGCTGTGGGACTGGCACTTCTATAAGACGTGTTTTAGAAGCAGGGAACACAAGATGAGACCTTTCTTGCTGATATCATGGTAAGTGATCTTTAGTTATGGGCTCATTATATTGCGATAACTTTGCTTCTGGTTACAACTTATATTAGATACACATGAGCCACATTTGCTTCTTACCTATGCAAACTGAGGTTCCTGCTTATTAGTGCTACAGGACTGCACTTTTCACTGCCATTCAAACAAGTCTGTGTGTCTGGCTTAGCCCAATATCTCTATTTATTATCACACCCTGACTGACAGCTTCGAATTTCTTACCAGTGTTCTCCTAACTGTCCTGTGTCCCGTTCCCTCTGGTGGCTTTCCATTCCAAAGCAGCGGTCTGGCCCCAATCCCAGAATCCTCCTCAGGTACAGTTCAATGCATTTTTTCTTTGTTCCGTATGAAAATGTTCTTGACTGTTTATGCTTTGGGAGGCGGTTTTGCCACTGTTGCTTAATGTGTTGCTTTTGAGCTTTATGGAACAGTTTTTCATTGTGTGCGGGACATCACACAGAGCTGCTCCCATAGCCAATTTGGAAAGTCATCTTGAAGCCCTGTTCTCGTGTGTTTTCTTCTGTTCTGCAGATAACGTTGAGTGTTTCCTGGATTATATGGAGCTCTGGGTGCCCAGGAAAATGATTGATGGCTTGCTTCTCTGGCTGTCTCGAGTTATGCGATTTCCAGGTACGGTCGAATTTTCGAGCAGTTCATAATGGGCTTTATGTTCATAAACCGGTCTGTGTTGCTTGTAGACGCTGCAGTGATGGAGCAACACCTCACAGGGGTCAGAAGCAGTCCATAGTGACGTCCACAAGGTTGTTGTAGGTCCTCCAGTGTGACCCAATCCAACAGTTTCTTAACACCCTGTTCTTGACCATCTCTCTGACTTTCTGATCGCACTCAACTGAGTAAGTCAACAAACTCTTGATAAAGTGCAGCTGAAACCAAAACTATTTTTTTAATTTTGGAAAGAGTGGAAAGGGATTAGAACACATTTCTGGTTTTTAATTGCTGTCTTTGTCCCGATTAGGAAGATTCACCCTCTTTATTTTGATCTTCTGGATCAACTGTGAGTAACTGTGGGCAAAGGGTTCTGTTTATAGAGATTTTTTTTATTCTCTAAAGGTTAAACTTGATGGACTTTTTTCACTTTTATACTCTTCCCCCTTTTTTAAACTATATAACCATTTGGTGACTGTTGTCCCTGAGGCTGGGTTCATACCATTTTCCAGACCAGATCTGGAACACAGTGCATTGCGTTTTTACCGCGATTTTGCCGCGTTTAGATTTTGTTTTTTTACCTTAAAATGGTCTTACAGGTGCGTTCCATGCATTTTGTATGCGTTTTTGATACGTTACAGTGCATTCCAGACCAGACCAGACCAAGTAGGAAAAGCAGTATTTTTCTGGTCTGGTTTGGAACGGACTCCGCTGGTGGGAACAGTGGCCAGAAATAGCATAGGGATACATTGGGACGCATTTTGGGTCTGGAAACAGTTTGGTCTGGTCTGGGGGTAATCTGGATGTGGTGTGAATGGGCCCTTAAAGTAGAAGAAAATCCCAGGGCCTATTTCAGCCCTTGAACTGTGCTGAAATTACAAATTCCATCATGTCTCTGGGAATCATGCCTGTGGCTGTGAGAATCTTGTAATGCCTCATGGGATTTGTAGTTCCACAACAGCTGGGGAGCTGGAGTTTGCCCACCTCTGGTGTATCATAACGATTGCCCATTTTTTTAAAAAAATACTGGTCTTCAACTTTTTTCACCCTTTGTTGCTTATCATTGTTTCTAATCCCCTGCAGCCTCTTTGCAGCCTCATTCTGGCTACATGTACTCCAGCGATGGCTGCATGGCATTTCTCAGGGTGGGTTTGCAGATGGTGACAACAGTTAATCATGCCCTGTGACAACACAGGAGGCCCAGTTAATCATGCCCTGTGACAACAAAGGAGGTTTGCCCATTTTTTTAAAAAAATACTGGTCTTCAACTTTTTTCACCC